ACTACAAACTACAACAGAAATAGGATAAGGGACTACATCTAGGGACAAAGTAAAGATACCTACAATACCTAAAAACCAAGAGAGGAGATCTTCTAATCAGCTTACACAAACATCAAGTCTTAATTCCACTAGTCCCTTTACAAACTGAATCAGATATATCATTATCTTTTAAAATTCTTAAATTCAACTGTTATTAAGAAATACCCCCAAGCATCTCAATTCAATATTTTTTAAAAGCACACATCAGAGTCCTTCAGCCTTCACTTCTCCTTGCCCCATCTCTTCCACAACTTATAAGGGCTTTTAGGGGCTGCTGCCCCTTTCTCTGAAAGAGAGTCCTTTCTGGAAGAATCCGAGTCCAGCTTGCCACTGGACTTACTGTCCTCCCCTTCTTTTTCTTCCTCCTCTGGCCCTCCCAACTGGACTCTTAAAAATTCCCGAGCTTTCATAACAGAGTCAATCTTTTCTTTTTTATCCTTGATTTTGAAGGTGACGTCTTCTGGACTTAGCCATCTATAACCAATTGAATTTCTCTGAAGAAAGAGAATAAGATCTTTGTATTTCTTTCTCCTTTGCCTTATTTCAAATGGAATGTCTTTTAGTACTGTGATGACATTTCCCCCCACTTTCAGGGGTACTCCAGATACTGCTTTCAGGATTTCATCCCTCACATGCCTCTTCGAGAATCTTACGACAATTTCCCCAGGCAGATTATTTTTCTTTATATATCCTGAATATGACCTATAGGCCACATCCATATCGCTTATCAATTGTTTCACCGTCATCTCTGTCACTGGGGCCAGTATTTCACTCATCGTTTCCTTTAGATTCTCACCCTTAGTCTCTGGCATGCCCTGGAAGCGAAGGATCATATTAGCCTTTTCCAATTGTAAATTGCAGCAGCTGATCTTCTGTGGAGACTTGCTTCTTTTCCAGTTGTTTCACTTTCTTCTTCACCTTTTGTGCAGTGGCATCCACTTCTTTCACCTTCTCAGCTGTTTGATTTGTCCTTTTCAGAGTCTCGTTTATCTGGTTTTGCTGAGCGGTGATATACTGAGTCACTTTGGTCATCTGTTCCTTGAAGTTGTTCAGCTGGTCCATTAGGGGGCACATGGATTCTGCCAAAGTCTTTGCCAGCACGTTGGTTCCTTCCGGTTTTGGGCTCTCAATTCCTTTCGCTTTCAAACGTTTCTCCTTTTCCAGCCTCTTCCCCGCCATGTTTCTCGGTTTACTTTCGCAAACTTTTTGAAAGTCTCTGAATATGCGTTTAAACGCTCAAACACTCCTTGGTAAGTACTTCTTAACAGTTTTAACCGCTTATTCTTCCGCTCCCCCCCTCATTCGCTCAAAGGTTCCTGCGTTCGGGAGGCGTCCCTCCCCCGCTCGCCTAATTCTCTATTGCGTAGTTAGGGTGGGGAGCTTTCTTTTCTCTTTAATCAACGCTTAAACGACTCACGTTCATAAGCGGTTCTCGGACCTAGTTTACTTTCAGTTTTAAACGCTCGATCTCCTGCATTTGCCCCGGTTAGCGTTGCTTAGGTCCATTTGGTCTCTCAGCACGGAGAACCGTCGGAACAGAGAAGCGCCTCAATTCTCCGGCATTCTGCCATCGAAGAGGCGACCACTCAGAAGTTCCATGGCCAGAGTCCCTTCAACCGGGTCTCTGGGGGGGGGGTGACGAACCTGTGCACCCCCTCCTTCGGCTGGAGCGCAGCTTCACCCCCGGGAGGTGTCTGCTCTAGCGCGCCGCCATCACCGGAACGGCTTGGCATATTATCATTGGTAATGAGACAGGAAACCTAAGTCTTGATTCAAACCAGGTGGTTGCACTGCCTTAAGCTTCTTTATCAATTGCAATCTCTTGCAATTGGTCCCGGTAAGGATGCCATATTGCTCCCAACACAAATTAATTTACTAACTTACTTAATTTATACCCCGCATTTTCTCCCTGATGAGGCTCCAAAGCAGCTTCTTTCAGCCTCTTCTCAGTTTTATCCTCACAACAACCCTGTGAGGTTGGCTGAGTGTGTGTGACTGGCCCAAGGTCACTCAGCAAGCTCCCACAGCTAAGAGGGAATTCAAGCCCAGGTCTCCCAAATCCTAGTCCAACATTGTAATCACTAGACCACGTTGGCTCTCAACTAAGCTTCCAATCCCAAGAGCATGTGGGAAAGACTGAAATCCCACAGGAACAGCTTCTATCGGACTGGTGGGAAAAAACAGTAGGAACTCACTGGTGTTCTCCTTCTGCCAGTTCCTGGATGGAATATAGCCCCATTGCTTCCATATCCTGCACAACTCACCCTTTTAAAAATGGCGATTATTTATTTATTAGGGACACACACTAGAAGAGCTTCTGAAAGTATTTTAATAAGCATGTCAGATAAGAACGCAAGGTTATCAGTGATAATTATTTTGTCCATACTTTATGGTGTCCTGTCTGAGATTGCATGGTGCAGCCCAGATCACTTCAAAAAGTATTTTTTTTTGGGGGGGGGGATCTTTCTTATTGGAGATGCTTGTAGATATGAGGGAGGTGGCAAGTCCTGCTATTACAGCGACAGACTGTACATACACAAGATCCAGGAGGAGAGGAATTAGCCGATATCTTTGGAAATATCTCCAGAACATGAAAACGAGTGCTACACAGAAGGTTGATTGATCAGTAGGAGGTTGCTGAATGAATGGCCACTTCGTAAAACAGTGTTATTGCAATACTGATGTAATGCTCAGTACATAGGAATGCAGACAGAGAGAGGTCCTCTCAAAAACAATCTTTTCCATAAAGTACTCTATAAATATTTGTATATTTCTATTCGATACATTACTATTTTTTACCTGTGGAGGCAGCCCACAATGAGACAGCCTTGCTGTACTTAAACAAACAAACAAACAGATGAGGCACAGGCCACCAGTGTTTTCAACCAGCCCTTTATTATATTCCTCAAGTGCTAGAATATTTACATATATATCTATATATATAAATATACAAACAAAAATTCCCAGCATGTCAAGTTAAGACGTGATTGAACTCCTCTTCTTATTACTCTTCTTCCTGAGAGGGAAGTGTGGGTCAGTAGCTACCCCAAATGCCCAACAATAGGCTAGTCATCTCCCTGATCGGGTCCACAACTCGTTCTAGGTGAATAAAACTACTGCATTTTTATTAGTTCATGAAGATTTTTTTTTAAAAAAAGAGAAACTATCCCCTATGGTAGAAATGGTTTTATACAAGGTTATGATAAGTCCCGAATCACTGAATGGAAGAGAACGAGACCCAACAAAGTTAGCGTTACTCCCATCCACTCTAATACACAATCTTCTTTATAAAATACTCAATTTTAAAGAAATATTAGACTAGCACTAGGAAGAGAAGGGGTAGGGGGAAGCTGACGGACATAAAGGAATCGACTGCCTGGGGTGACTTGTGTTCAGGTCGGTGTTCTAATCTTAAACGCACACCATCTTTTTCATAGAGGACAGGAAAGAGGTGGACAACACACACACACACACGAACCAGTGAGTAGCAACCAAATTCACATCAAATAAAATCTTTGCCAGCTAGGATACTTATATAAACAAGAGAATAAAATAATATACAAAATGAGTTTCTATACAAGCAGTAGAAGCCTAAGAGCAAGGATGGGTGAAGTATGAAATTGCATTAAAAGAGATTCTATAAGAGGCATATGGTATTATGATCAATGGGACACAATCATCCCAGAGAACAAACCCTATAGGGAGAAAAAAAAAACAGAATATACCAAGTTGGAGGTGGTATAGCGCTTTCAAAGAAAACACAGAAACAATCAAAATACTACCATCACCAAATCTCTGTGAGCAGAATTTCCAGGTAGGGGGAAAAAACCCAAACCAACAGCAGGGAATACAGTGTCTATTATTGTACGACCATCAAGACAATGCAAAAAGCAATCCTGGGTCAAAAAACCAGAAAGTGTACCAGTACTGTGAGGGTTCAGCTAGCCTTGGGTTGATTAAGTAATTGTCAGATTTGGTTATAAGAAGGCAATATAACTATTGCTATTTCTGCCTTGTTATTTAGGAAACCAAAAGTGGTGTGATGCCTGATGGAATCCCTAAGAAGTGTTTGGAAGGCAGAGAAAAACAGAGTTTAATTGATAGGTGACACAAAAAGTGTTTTACAATCATCGTAAACAGATGCATCTAAGGAAGTGAATGCTAGCTCACAAAAGGGTATGCTGGGATCAGTTTTGTTAGTCTCTAAGGTACCACTGGACTCCTGTTTTATTATATTTAGGTTAAACCAAGAAAGCAAAGGAATGACGCAGGAAATGCCAGATGGTTATTTTGAGTGGGCAGCCCTATCAGAACAAGATGAAAAGGCTGCTTAACTGAACTAGATACACTCTGGCAAATGAACTCATAAGGCAGGCGAAGGAGAACAAACTGCTAGAAGTATACAAATAAATAATAAAAATACTTTACATTCATCTGAAGCAGGAAGCCAGCCAGAAAGGGGTAAATGCAACAATAAAGCAAATGGCAAAAATCTGCAAGAACTATTTTCCTCCCACAGGGGTGGCTGCTGGCACCTGGACCTTTTACTGCATGCTGTGCATCAGAAGAACCATGTCAAACCAAGGTGACAACGGTGGTTTCAGAAGTAAAACCAGGGCTATTTTTGGGCAGGAACGCATAGGAACGGAGTTCCAGCTGGCTCCCAAGTTGGCCACGCCCAGCAGAAACTCATTAGCATAATAGGCCACACCCAACAGCAGAAACTCATTAGGATTGGCTACATTAGGGGTGTGTGGCCTAACATGCAAAGGAGTTCCTGCTACAAAAAAAGGCCCTGGGTTTTGACAGCAATCAAGGTAAACAGAATAACAAGCAAAAGGTGGGTGTGGCTGGATAACCACACTTCTGGTAACATGTGGGTGTGGCCTAATGTGCTAATGAGCTGTGCTGTCAAGGGTGTGGCCCAATATGTTAATGAGTTCCTGCTGTTGGGTGTGGCCTATTATGCTCATGAGTTCCTGCTGGGCTTTTTCTACAAAAAGAGCCCTGAGTAAAACAAAGTAACAAACTGCCAAGATTTGCATGAGTAAATAGCTCCATTTAAGAAAGACCAGAAAAATAAATAATATCCACAACTGTTTAAAATGTACTTTTTAAACAAATAACTGAAAGACAGACAATGGAGAATCTATTTTTCCAATCCAACAGGGGAGTTCTGAAAGCTGCTGTGTATGCCTTTGGGCCCCATGGGACTGCCTGAGGTCATGATGAGCACATGACCACAGCTGGGGTCTTCCTCAGAAGTGTAGCTCCAGGAAACTGTAGGCTTGTAAAGCCTCACTTCCTTTGGATCTGAATTGGCAGAAACAGTTAGCTAACGATTAGAACACGCAGGTGAGCATGCCACGTCGAAGAGGCGGCAACATTATGATCTGCAAAAGCAAGTTTACCAAGCTGTCCGAATAGCTTCAAAATGTGAATAAGCATGTGAGCGTATAAAACTATCATACCATGATGCTATGTCCCCATTCAGATTATTGTACACAATGGTGAACCATCTCCTGTCAAGGACACAGAAAAGTTGGGGGACTGTGTGAAAAGGAGCGACTTTGTCCGGGGGCGGGGGAGGAGGAGACCATCAAGTAAATTGAATAATCAGACATAACAACAGCAGACCCAACTGCTTTATTAGCCTGCTCCAATCTGGTATAAAGCAAGGAGTGGATGGGTACATTTTTTTCAGTAAAAGGGATGTACAGGGAGGGGTTGCTGAACCCTTCTGTTGACAGTGTCTTACATTTTGTGCTGTTTCTCATAGACTCCTAGAGTTGGAAGGGACCTCCAGGGACCTCAGTAGAGCTGCAGTATCAGGAGCGAGCTTGGTTGGGAGAAGTGTACGTGTATACACGGGGGTGCTACAGGGAGGTAGGTTATACGCAAGGCAGTGACAGTCCTCCTCAATCACGTTTTATTTTTGAGTAGATATTTTTTTTAAACAAGTGAGTTTTTTACTCTCACATCCAGTTTGGCCGTGAAATAAATTTTCATCACAGAAAACATGTGGGTGGGAGGGGACAAAGACAGCATGACAGAGATGTTAAGGCCTTGCACAGTATGGTGGGCACAACATGGAAAAATTTCAGTGCCACTCAAAATATAAACACGTGGAGGATGATAAACTGATGTCGCCTGGCAGAAGAAGTGCTTCTGAATACAATGCATCCTTATGAATTTTGTTGGCACAGGATGCTCAGACAATCATTAGACTTCTTAATAGGATTAGATTGATGTAGGAAGGGTAGTTCCATGGGCCATAAGTTATCAGAGATGGTTCATCCTTGACTACCAGATCCTGAGGGCTAACGAAGGCAAAAGCTTCTCTCATTCCTCATTTGTGAACTTCTCCATGGCAGCCATTTTTGGAAGACAGAATGCTGAACTAGCTAGAAGCTTGAACTGACCCCCTAGTATGGCAAGTCTTATATACTATGGTAAAACACAAATTAAATTATTTTGGAACAACAGTGTGGCTTTATTACTCTCAAATACCTTTTGACAGGTACCCAGTAATGTGTTCAGTGTACTGAAGAGCCTTTTACACTTGTACATCAAACACTGCATTCCTCTTGAAAACAGAGTAGAAGGGAAACTAACGTACGTACACTCAAAATAAAAACCAAGAGCAAATCTAAATGTACATTGCTGGCAGCCGTTTCCACACAATGGAACATTGTGTAGACGCACATATAATATGGTGAAAACACACCCTAACTATGCAATAAGAAAGGCTTGTAAGAAAAAGGAATATATATGTCATAACAAGAACAAACCATAGCTGGAGGGATGGTTTCGACAAGGATACTAAATAAGCAGTACAGAATGCCTCTCCGTTTCAGGACTTTCATTTCATTCGCTTCCTGGGAGAGACGTCTCCGTTGCTGGTAGCCGACTGCTGGGAAGGGAATGCGAGGCCAGATGGGGAAGGGCACGGCATCTCCTGACCGTTTGAGGATGTACCTGCTGTGTGCATCATGCTAGGGCCTGGGAAATCATAATACTGTGAAGGGTACGGAGGACTGTAAGAAGTTCTACCCCGTATGTCTTTCATGACTTCCAAGATGCCCTGCAGTACGCTTGTCTGGCTACTCAGCTGCTCCTTCAGAGTTTGATCGCTGGATTCCAGAGCACTTACGAGCCTCCCAATGTCCTCTGCGCTCTGCTCCATCTCGTCTTTGCGCGCAGAAAGGTCCTCCTTGTAGGCCCGCTCAAAGGAAGCCACCTCTTTGTGTGTGAGGTCGGACAGTGTCCGGACGAGTTCGCTGGTGGCCTGGGACGTGACCTCCATCAGCTCCTTCAATGTATCCCCCCTCCTCTTTCTCTGCCTGCAACGGAGATTGCGCATTCTCTCTGCGGCGGTCAGCGGCCGAGGGCGCAGATTTGGTGCTGGACAAGCAAAACAGGAGAAAAGACTTTAAGCAAGGAACTTTACTGGCTGCAAAGCATTCTGTACCTTAGAGGGGCAATTTTGCAGATGAATTAGAAAAGTTAAACCAGTTGTTTCAGTAGGGAATTCAACACCATTGTAACCATACTCACAGGAAGAAAGGAGCCAACTTCTGCAAACTGAAGGCATTATTTAAATTATGCAGATGTATATATTCACTTACTTTACATGATTTATTCTGTTAGCCACAGAAGCAAGAAGGAGCAATATTTGAAGCTGCCCTACACCGAGTTAGGCCATCAGTCCATCACAGTTGGTACTGTCTGCTTAGACGGGCAGTGGCTTTCCAGGGTCTTTTGTATCACTGGTTACCCAAGAGCCTTTAAGTGGAGACTGAACATGAGACCTTCTGCATGCAAAAGCAGAGGCTCTTGGACTGAGCCGCAGCCCTTGCCCTACATGGGGAGCTGTCAACACCCAACTGGCTCAGGCCTGGAGCAACTAATGATATTCCATCACAGTTTGCTCTCACACCGTTCAGATCTTAGCTTTACTGCCAGAAATAACAGAGACTGGAATCCCTCCTGCCAAAGGAAATCCAAGATTCTTCATTCTGACAATTCATTCCTCGGCATTAGGGGATACAAAAATGAAGCCCACTCCCCAGGGGTCATTTCGTAGAAAAAGAGCTAGGGGAACTCATTAGCATAACTCATTAGCATATGCCACACCCCCTGACATCAGGGGCCCGGCGGTGGACCTGCAAGGCCAGCGGGAGTGCGAGGAAGCCCTGCCAAGGCCCTCCCTGGCCTCAGGCAGGCAGGGGTGGGGAGAGGCGGGGAGGAAGCAACTTACCCTCCCTCTTCTCCTGCCTCCTCCTGGCTGAATGAGGGCTGGAAGTGGGGCGGCTGGAAGCAGGGAGCGGGGCCTCGTCGTGTGCCCCGCCCCCCTGCACCTCACCCGGGGGAACTGCGTTCCCCCGCGTTCCCCCCCGAAATGACCTCTGCCACTCCCCCCTCAGACACATCCCAAGCAGTGTTCCCTCTAAGGTGAGTTACGGTGAGCTAGCTCACAGTTTTTTAGCCTCTGGCTCACACATTTTTGTCTTAGCTCAGGAAGGATGGCTCCAGAGCAGACAAATTTATGCAGTAGCCAAATGGCTCGCTCACAACTTTAATGCCAGTAGCTCACAAAGTAGAAATTTTGCTCACAAGACTCCACAGCTTAGAGGGAACATTAATCCCAAGTACTGACAAAAACTCACCGGAGATTGAGTCATTGGATGGCAGAGGATCCGTGGGAGTGCCAGGGCCAGCACTCCCATCCATGGATAGATCAGAGTTTGCTGCTGGTGATGCTGCTTGGTTTTCCATGTTAGCTTCACTCTGCTGCGACCCAGCCGATTCAGGCAACAGTAAACAGTCCCCGTCTGGTTCTTCAAAAGTCCCTTTGTCGCTCTTTCCTACAGACAGCGGTGGTTCGTAGGCAGCATCTTGCGTTTCTCTGTGCTCCCGGCGCCGGCGATCAACAGGCGGCCTTGCGTTGCTCCCTGAAAGCCGTGGAACGACCAGATTTTGCTTGATGCAAAGAAAGCGATTAAGTTCTTCATAATATGGCCACACTCGGCGCCCATGACCAGCATTGCTGTTCCCATCCACTATCTCTTTGAAACCGCGTCGAAGCACCTTTGCACGTTCGCGACATTGCTCCCAGTCCCTGTTGTATCCCCGGGCTCGCATCTCATCAGCTATCCACTGAAACTGTGCGACTGTGCGGTAATTTGAAGCCAGAGCACTCTGCACAGCGTCATCACCCCACACCTGGATGAAGGCCCGCGTTTCCTCGTCGGTCCAAACTGGTTGGCGCCTTGATTTTGTAGCGGAGGAAGACCCCTGGGAAGAAGGCGTCAGTGTGCCATGATTCGGCACTGGCACGGTCTCTGGAAGGGTATCAGACAACATGGTGTGCTCCGAGGATGACACGGTGATATTGGCAGCAGGAAATTTTAAAATCGCAGCAGGAAACTTTTCATTGTTTTGGGCGTAGTTAAAGGAGTGCTAGTGAGGGGGGGTGGGGTGTAACAAAGAAGCTCCTAATGATAAGAGTGCGGATAGAGAGATGGGATGCTCTGTACAATGCACTCTATGATCACGATGGCAATTCCCCCGCTGAGACATGTGCATCTCACACAAACATTACAAGAGACACACATCTCGCATCTTTGTTCCCACAAGTTGGCCTGCAAAGAAAACACGTGTAACCTCAAGAAAATGACACGGGAGTCTGCATTCCGACATGCGAAAAAAAAGATACGTGACAACGGTGCGATACACATGTCTAGCGTAACGTGTGAAGCGGCCTTAAGTTCCAGCCTTCCTTAGCTTTCACTATTCTATGCTCCTGACAAATATATATATATATATTTTAAAAAGCTGAAACAAGTTTTGCATCATTTATTCCAATTGCATAATTGTTTAAAGGCACAATTCTAAACACCTGGCTTTCACGTGGGCTAATTTACATGCAAATGAACAATTACTCACCTGTGTAGCTACCATCTGTTGAAATGTAGGCCGCTCAAGGAGAAAAGAAAAACAGACAAAATTAGAGGAGGAGATGCAAAAGGCAAAATGAACAGTCTGGTGGGGAAATATGACTGAAATTTACAATGCAAGGACAACCAGCCATCCAGCGTACTGAACATTCACCCCATGGAATCATGTGGGCTGGAAACGTGCTTCAACAACAAAAGAAAAACATTCTTAGGGATCCTATTACATGCACTGCTCATCAAAAAGAAAGCCAATAGTCGTTCAGGGGTCATTTGGAAACTGAAGTTCACAGAAAGAGCACTCAAGTATAAGGGCTGGAGCAAGCAGTATAGGACTTAGAATCATAGAGTTGGAAGGGACCTCCTGGATCATCTAGTCCAACCCCCTGCACAATGCAGGAAATTCACAAATACCTCCCCCACACACCCTCAGTGACGCCTGTTCCATGCCCAAAAGATGGCAAAAAGTCTCCAGGATTCCTGGCCAAACTGGCCTGGAGAAAAACTGCTTCCTGACCCCAAAGTGGCAACCAGCATTTCCCTGGGCATGTAAGAAAAGGCCACAAGAACTAAGCACTGAGGTAACCCTTCCTGCCCTCCCTCTCATGATCTGCCTGAGTTCACGGAATCAGCTGTCAGATGGCCATCTAGCCTCTGTTTGAAAACCTCCAAAGAAGGAGCGCCCACCACCTCCCGAGGAAGCCTGTTCCACTGAGGAACTGCTTTAACTGTCAGGAAGTTCTTCCTAATGTTTAGCTAAAAACTCTTTTGATTTAATTTAAACCCGTTGGTTCTGGTCCGGCCTGCTGGGGCAAGATAAAACAACTCTGCACCATCCTTTATATGACAGCCCTTCAAGTACTTGAAGATGATAATCATATCTCCTCTCAGTCATCTCCTCTCCAGGCTAAACATACCCAGCTCCCTCAACCTTTCCTCACAGGACTTGGTCTCCATCTTTGTTGCCCTCCTCTGGACACGTTCCAGCTTGCTTATATCCTTCTTAAATTGTGGTGCCCAAAACTGAACACAATACTCTAGGTGAAGTCTAACCTAGTAAAGCGATAACATCACTTTGCGTGATCTGGACACTATACTTCTGTTCAGGGGTTTGTTTGGGGGTTTTTTTTTGGGGGGGGGGAGAGGTGCCAGAACTCTCAAGAGGGAAATGAAGTTTTCAATCTGCATACTAACACCTCATGAACTTTTAAACATTTTAAAAAGAATGTTGACAAAGAGGTTCTGGAACTCTGTTCCGGCGCATTCAGCCCTACTTCTATTGATACAGCCCAAAATGGCATTTGCCCTTTTAGCTACCACATCACACTGCTGACTCATATTCAGTGTATGGTCTACTAAGACCCCAGATCCTTTTTGCACATACTACTGTCAAGACAAGTCTCCCCCATCCTATAATTATTCATTTGATTTTGCCTACCTAAATGGGGACCTTTACATTTATTCCCACTGAAATTCACTTTATTTGTTTTAGTCCAGTTTCCCAGCCTGTCATGATCATCCTGTATCCTGCCTCTATCTTCTACCGTATTTGCTACCCCTCCCAATTTTGTATCATCTGCAGATTTAATAAGCATTCCCTCTATTCCTTCATCCAAATCGTAATAGTATAATATGAATATAGTATATAAAAGAGAAGAAGAAGAAGAAGAGGAGGAGGAGGAGATTGGATTTATACCCCGCCCTTCACTACCCAAAGGTGTCTCAGAGCGGCTTACAAACTCCTTTCCCTTCCCCTCCCCACAATAGGCACCCTGTGAGGTGGGTGGGGCTGAGAGAACTCTGACACAAACTGCTCTTTTTCAAGGACAGCTGTGCCAGAGCTTGTGACTGACCCAAGGTCATCCAGCCAGGTGCAAGTGGAGGAATGGGGAATCAAACCCGGTTCTCCCAGATTGTCCGCGCACTTAACCACTACACCAAATTGACACATGTAAATTTCCTTGGCTCAGCAAACTCTGAAGGGTTGGAGAACACAAAGACTTGTAAAAAGTGTCTCACCTGGTCTCCTCCAGGGAACCAGGCAAGGAATTTCAAAGTCAAAAGGCAGCCTACTCCTTTGGCTGTGCCATAAACCTCACGTAACAATGCATGGCCTGGCAGGCTAGTAACCAATTTTTGTGGGCTATCAGCCTTTGCAGACTTGGCTCCCTTTACGCCCACTCCCTCTCAAACCATCTCGTTCTGCACTGCTGGGGAAAGTGGCCTCTCAGCTGCTACCTCCAGTGGTCAACCCCCTTGTCATGTCTCTGCCCCTTTTCTTATGTGCTCCAAGACAGCTACTTCTCCTCCAGCAAATAGCTTATGAACAGCTACTGGTTGAGGGAAAATGGACCACCCGCGAGAAAGCAGTCACCATTAGAAACAAAGAGAAGAGAAGCAAGCATATTCCTACCATTGCAAAGGTCTAGAACCTAACTTTTAGAAGAAAAAGTCTGCATGTTATTAATACTTCCAGATTGTTGGTGTGAGCTAGCTCACAGTTTTTTAGCCTCTGGCTCACACATTTTTGTCTTAGCTCAGGAAGGAGGGCTCCAGAGCAAACTAATTTATGCAGCAGCCAAAGCTCCTGCTCACAACTTTAATGCCAGTAGCTCACAAAGTAGAATTTTTGCTCACAGGGCTCCATAGCTTAGAGGGAACATTGCTACATGGAGGTATAATCTTAAGGTACTTACCGGCGTTAAGTACCTTAAGGAATTAAGTCAAACTGCACTCCCTAGAACTGTGCAAAACATCAGCTGAAGGAAAATGTATGCATTCCCCACTATGATTGCAGAGTTTGCTGTGTTACCTTATTGGCTTTTACTTTGTTTGCACATACAAGTTTTGACAATGCCAACCTGAAGCCAAGCTAGATATTTCAGGTGGATGGGAGAGAATAAATGTGAATGAGAATGTCATCAGTTACGTGTGCAATTTGCTATGAAAATGGGGGAGATACCGAAGGAGGCGGCCACTTACTCCCAACTATGATGTGGTGCTAAGAAAATCTTTGAAGATGAGAACAACGAGAGGGATCAAAGCATCTTGTCCATCATGTTTAGGCCTTGGTTTAAATCAGTTACATTCAAAGGCTCAGGAGCTCTTTGACTCGTGGATCCTCCGAGAACTGTTCCCCAATGCAGCACCTGCCCAGTTTCCAGGGAAGCAGGTAAGAAGAAGAAGAATTGGATTGGATTTATACCCTGCCCTTCACTCAGAGTCTCAGAGTGGCTTACAATCTCCTTCCTTTCCTCTCCCCACAAGAGACACCCTGTGAGGGAGGTGGGACTGAGAGAGCTCTGAGAGAACTGTGACTGACCCAAGGCCACCCAGCTGACTGCATGTGGAGAAGGAGAGGGGAATCAAACCCGGTTCTCTAGATTAGCGTCTGCCGCTCTTAACCACTACACCAAACTGGCTCCCTGGCCTGGTAGTGCTTGTAGTTGGTAGATGGTTCACACCATGACACAGCTGCTGCTGGAGGGACTGGAGGATCGGTAAGCTGCAGGCCTCATGGGAGGGATGGAAAGGTCCATTCTCTCCAACACCCCCCACCCTTCTTTGCAGCCTTTGTGCTACTCTCATTTTGGCTCCCAAGTGGCCATCAGGAAGAGAGCCACTTGGCCACAGCAGCCACCCAGGAAAAGAGCAAGCTGTCCACAGTGGGGTATGGTGGTTTTACTCTGCACTCTCCATGGCCAGCTTGTTCTCCTCCAGGTGCCTTGGAAATCTCTTGTCACCTGACCCACTATTTCCCATGCTGAGGAGAGAGTGGGAAGGTTGAGAGGGAAGCCCACGCACTTGATATACAAGGACTGGCTAAGGTTTGAACAGAGAACCCTACATGGCTCAGAAGTAATCTTTTCTGTTAGTCTGTAGGTGTAACAAAAAAGTAATAAAGCTACCCTGTCTTCAGGGGATTGGAAAAAAAAAGAAGTACTCTGGTAATCAAAAAGGTTACAAAATTTAATATTAAGTTGTTATCTTATTGTATGCACAGATTTGGTGAAAAAGCATACAGGGCACAAAAGTCATATGGCTCTTTTGGTTGATGGTAACTGAATGTGGTTCTCTGTGGGCCGTGGAGTTGAGTACCACTACTTTAAATACACTTCAAGTCAATATTCCTGGACAGATGTTTTCTTGGCAAAGGCCATCTTGATTGTTTTTATAATGTTTTATCTCTTAAGAGCTCCCCCCTCCCCAAATAATATGTTACTACCTTTTCTTGGCTGGGATGAACTGCAGGGGAAGGGAAAGACTGCAATGTGGTCTATCACCAGGTGCCCAGTTAAGCAATACATATTATTAAAAAAAACCAAAAAATGTAGGCAGGGCACCAATGTGGCTGGCAAGCATAATCTGGAATGAATAATAGCCAAGGATGCCTAACAGCAAGAGAAACATGGAAGTTACAAGAAAAGGAATAATCCCAGACCCAGCATCTTTAAAAGTTTAGTGGGCTGTCAGCTGCTTGTTAGGTTCTGCTGTCCCCTTGAAAGCCTGTCCAGTCTTCCTGGAGGGGAGGTGAAGCCGCAGAACAATATATTTACTGCACAGCTTTATGGATTCCAGCATGAGCCCCCTTGCCCAAAGCTATTCCAAGGGGCAAGACAGATTTCAACTAGTTTAACCACACTTTCAGCAGCCTGCTCAACAGCAGTGCCCATTTCCTTCTCTAAATTCTTCAACACTTCCCTTGATTAGAATTTCAGAATTTGGAAACATTAAGAGACTTATGCTGGCCAATCCATCCCCAAAAGCTCAGTCTAGGTGACGGGGGGGGGGACAACTTTAATTGTGTTCTTTCAAATGAATAACTGGGTCTGAGTCACAAATGTTACAGACCTGCTTCTATTTTGCTGAGGCACTGCTTTGGCCAACTAGTGGTTAAACGGGCACAGGCAAAGTAAACAAGGATTCACAGGCTAGAACATTTTCCACTTAATTACAAAGTCCATATTTATACAGTCCAGGAACAGGGCGGAGGTCAAAAATTTCCACACAGGTGATAGATT